AAAATATCTGAATATTAAGGGATTGAGTGGAAACCAGACTAAAAAGTGGAATTGTCTGAATAAAAATGGAAAAAGCTATCTTTATTAGCCGCACTTGGGTAGTTAAACCGGATAAAATACCCAAAAATAAAGCCGTTTTCTGAAAAACTAATAACAGATTCGAATTCCTCATCCTCGAAAGCCCCTAATTGCAAATTTTCAGCTCAATTGGCTTCAAAAAAAATTGCTAAATCCATGTACGGCCGTATCGTCGAGAATTTCTTAAGCAAATCCATAAACAATAATTTTTAATGTAATTTGTAAGTTCAAAAAGGAAGTAGTTCTTTAAGAAAATTGTACATAAGTTTAGTTTCTAATAATTCCATCTAAAATTTAATTCACTGGGTCTAATTGTTTCTAAACCAATAACCATAAAACTTTCGGCATTCACACGAAACAAAACTCATCTTTTATTTCCCAATTATCGAAAGTGGTGCCCAGAAATGGTGGCTTTTTTTCTCTTTTTCATGAAAGCCTTTGTTCAAAAGTTTCACACACAAAGACAGCCTCTAGAGGCCTGAGGAGAGGGCCATGGGGGTTCTCCTATCGATTCTCGGCACCACTTTCTCCCAGCCTTTCTCCAGCATTTCCCCGATCTCTCCCCGAATTTCTCTCGTTTCTCTCATTTCTTCGCCGATCTCTCCACCTCTTCCCCAACACAATTACTCCATCAGAGGGGCCGCTGTGGGCCCTTCTTTGGCAAAGGGAATGGGAAGGGGGTGGGTGGGGTGGGCTAGGAGTGGGTAGGGCCAGGTCTGGACCCTTGAATGGATCCATCCCCTTTTCTTTCCCCTTTTCCTTTTCCTTTTCTCCATTCATTCCTGGTGCACCCTTCTCTTCTTTTTATCGATGCACACGTATGGGAACCCCCCCAAAAGTCCCCTCCACCCTTCGATTCTCCGATGACCCCTGCCCGTAAACTACGATTTACTTTATGATTCACTGCAGATTACTTTCAGTTGTCTAACTTGCTTTTATGTTTAGAGATTCTTTTTGGCAAACTAGTCAGATCTTTTCCTTGAACTCTCATCCATCTCTTTATCGAATCCACTCAATGATTAGATTGCAATTCATCAGTTCGATCATATTTTAGCTTTGAATGTTAGCTTTATTTCTTTCTGTTCAGCCTAAATCTGATTTGTCATGCTTTTAAGTTATGATGAGCCTCTAAATCTTGAAAGTTCACAGATGAATCATCGCACAACTTTTCGATCTTTTGCATACAAAGAGCAAAAACTAGAAGGGAATTCTGGAAATTTTGCAATAACAACCGATCGCTGATCATTCTTTCCATCTATGATAACTTTCCTGATTCTAGCAACTAATACAGCTGATCAGTTGATACCAAACTTTGTCCTTCGAATTTTGAGATTCAAAAAATACGTAAGACTAAAGCCCACCTATAAATCAGTTGTGATTAAATCTGTATTTATTTTGAATATCATTTTGAACAGTCTCCTTTTCAATTCCCACCCACTCATCGCACCGCATTCATTCACTTTTCCCTTTCATCCACACATTTTTGCCTAATTGAATTCGAGTTTTACCAGACAAAGCCTTTGACGATAGAAATCTCCCAGATTAGATCGGGGGAATATAGTGAGTAAATCGCTGAGTTTAAAAAAATGAATGCATAAAAGAAAATGATAGAAAAATAATCAAAATAGTCACCAACTCGGCTCGCTGGGGTGCACTACTATTAGAGAAAATACAGTAACTGTTTTTATACCCCCTGAATTGGATTACTAGCTAAAATTTACTGAAGCAACTAGATCTATTGATATTCAATCATTTGAAAGACCCATTTCTACCAGTTCTTTATCTTTGGATATCCCAAATATTTAAATTTAGCTAAACAAGTTTCATTTTTCATCTCCCAGATTAGATCGGGGGAATATAGTGAGTAAATCGTTGAGTTTAAAAAAATGAATGCATAAAAGAAAATGATCCATTTTAATCTATGGTTTCTTTTCCAAAGTTCTGAGCTAAAAATACAATGCATAATCACAGATTTTTTAGCTATTTTTAGTCCTTCTATATGATAATAAACAAAAAAATGCAGTATGAATAGACAAATGCGTTTCAGTTTCAGTACCAGATCCCCTATTTTCTCTAATAGTAGTGCACCCTGAGCATTGCCTAAATTGCTCGAAATCTCGAGAACCGCTTATCAGAACCTATCGATGTGGGGTCGGAAAATGTAGCTGACGATGAGATCTAGTGGGGGATTCGAGTGTTGAGCTTCTGTGAAAACTTTGAAAGCCGTAAAATAGTCACCAACTTGGCTCGGTGCACTACTATTAGAGAAAATGCGGTAACTGTTTTTATACCCCTGAATTGGATTACTAACTAAAATTTACTGAAGCAACTAGATCGATTGATATTCAATCATTTGAAAGACCCATTTCTACCAGTTCTTTGAATATCCCAAATATTTAAATTTAACTAAACAAGTTTCATTTGAAAGTAAGCCAGATTCTTGATTCGAATATGGAAATAATCAATGACAGGGAAATAAGTTCTTCTAAAAAAATCTACGTAAACTGAGATTTTTCAAGCTATTTTTATCCAAACTTCTCAAGAAATAACTAGGTAGAATGATGTGGATGAATGTGATAAGTAGGGGAAGGATCTCCCTTACCTCTTCAACAAGATCCGTCCATCCAAAAAGGGGAATCCCTTCCCCCTCCTCCTTCCTCTTTTTTTTACTGAAGCAACTAGATCGATCGATGTTCAATCATTTCAATCATTTGAAAGACCCATTTCTGCCAGTTCTTTATCTTTGAATATCCCAAGTATTTAAATTTAACTAAACAAGTTTCATTTCAAAGTAAGCCAGAATCTTTATTCGAATATGGAAATAATCAATTACAGGAAAATAAGTTCTTCCAAAAAAATCTACGTAAACTGAGATTTTTCAAGCTATTTTTATCCAAACTTCTCAAGAAATAACTAGGGTAGAATGATGTGGATGAATGTGATAAGTAGGGGAAGGATCTCCCTTACCTCTTCAACAAGATCCGTCCATCCAAAAAGGGGAATCCCTTCCCCCTCCTCCTTCCTCTTTCCTTATAGATTTTCCCCATTTAATCATATCCTCATTTTTCTCAATTTCTATTTTCATCCTCCTCTCTTCCTCTCTTTTCCCATCTCGTTTCAATATTTCATAAATCTCAGACATTGATGCTAGTCAATTTCATTTTTTAAGTTTGCTAATGAAAGTTTAAAAGCTTTTTGGGCTCTAATATTAGACATTTTTATAAATTTAATTGAAAAAACTCAACTTATCACCTGCATCCTGTTTTTTGTTTAGATTTATAATTTTTCCATGATTGCTTCGATCTTTCACCCTAAATCTGCACTTTTCCTGGCACAAAAGATTGAATCTTTAGATATTCTTGGAATCTTGGACGAACAGATCTGTTATTCAATAGTTTTATTATACTTTTAAATATAATTTTTCAGTTTAAATCTCAATTTCACTGTTTCAGCCATGTCTACCTAGTTAAACCTTGGTTCAGAGTAGCACAAGGTGATCCTTAATAGAAAAAAAACCTTGACCATTGCTTTCTTGTCTTCAAATCCTTTGATCGTTGCCATGAACAGTTCTTGTGAGCTTTTCATATTCGAAAAGCACATGCAAATAGCCATTTCTTCACCTTTTCTCTGACATGACATCTCGTCTTTGCCCGATTCGATCGTCGGGTTGCGTGGAGGGAGGAGAGGTCCCCCTCGGTGCCAATGCAAAATTAATTTTGCGCGGAGCGGCCTTCTCCCCTCTTTTTTCCTCCTCTTTCACTCTCACTTCACTCACCACGTTCTCCTCTTTTTCTCTTTTTTCCAAAAAGCAAATGTCGAAAACGGGCTTTCTTCTTCCTTCTGACTTTTCGAGTCACTCGAAACTCCTCTGTTCTTCACGAGACTTTGTTTCCGAATATTTTTTTTGCTAAATTGTTGAAGAAAACTCTAGAATCGTTTTCCACAGTTCCAATACGGTTCCAATATGGTTTTCAATACAGTTCCAATACGGTTCCAATACGGATCCAATACGGTTCCAATACGGTTCCAATACGGTTCCTATTTTGATCTAATAAGTTCCAATACGGTTCCAATATGGTTCCAATACGGTTCCAGTTGCTTACAATATTCTTCACAGTTTTACGGATTACTTGGATCTAAACGCTTACTGGAATTGAGTTTGAACAACCAGAATTCATTTCAAAGTTTGATCTGGATCTGATCTGGATACTATCAGTTGCTTTTATTAAACTTTTTTCAATGTTTTCTCGAAGAATATTGCTATCATCTGCTTCTCAATTTCAGATTGATCCCATTTTTCGTTAAAACTCGCGAAGCTGGCCGATCATTCGTTGAATCGACAGGAGTGAGAGAGGGGACGGGTGATCCCTTCTCTCAAACAAAACGACAACAATCGACAAATCTCACCCTTAGAGATTAAAGAGAGTGAAGGGGAAAAGGTGAGCCGATTTCTCAAATCTATTTTCCTTCTGTAGCTTTTAAAATCTGTACTCTTTTCAATGCCTAATCCATCAAGCATAATTAGGTCTCTTTTTGAGTAACAGCTTACAATCAATCAACTAGATTTCCCTGCAAATTTCCTCCAAAATAACACCCTCTCGAACAAATCTCTTTTTGAAGGCAGGTGGCTTTCTCCTTCTTTTTTCCCCATTTCACAAAGGTTTCTTTTGATTTCTTTTCCATGCGATTCAAAAATGACATCTGGAATGCATTTGTATTTGAGATTTCACGATTTCACGTGAAATAGATCGAGATTCTAAAAGTTCCTTCACGTTTAAGATCAAAATCGACTTCAACTACTATCATTTTGATATGAAGTTCGAATTCTAAAAGATAACAATCGTTTACTAGTATTTAAATTATCATTATCATTATCATTATCTTAATCGAATGTTCTCTTTCAGTGAATTCTCTCCTCAAGAATGGCGGACATGCCCGATTTGTCGCATCTTTCCGCTGAGGAACGGGCAATCATCGAGGCGGTCTTTCAACGACAACATGCTGAAGAACAAAAGGAACAAGTCGAATCCGAGTGAGTTTTATCTTGATATTGTTGAGAAAACATTTTGATTGTTTCGATGAACATGAAAAAAATCGATTTTAACATGCTAACAACCCTAGAGTCAAAGCAACTTCGAATCTTTGAATCTTCGACTTGCTTCCTTTAAGATTCACTAATTTTTCTACTTTTTAATGATCTTTTTTATCTTTTTATCTTTTTATCTTTTTGGAATCATTTTTCTCTTTTCATTTTTGGTTATTGCAAATTTCCGGTCAGTTCCCGTTTCTCTTTCCATTTTTGTTACCACCCTCAAGTTGACCTCATCTCCTCTTTCTTTTTCCTCTTTTTCCTCCTTTTTTCCATCCTCTCACAACTCATTAAAGTCAAAAATTTGAAATCTTTGAATGAAATTGTTTTTCTCATGCATGCTCATGTTTCTTTAGAAAAGACTCGAGTTTTCTGGGAAATCTTTTAGCTGTGAATGATTCATTGCTTTTTGGGCCTAACAAAGAGCTGAAATTCGAGTCGAAATGACTCAAACTCAAGCTTGGGTAATCGAATGAAAGATCGAAAAAATTGAATTCATAATCAAGACATTTTATTTGCGTTATCGCAACTCCAAAGCTAAGCCCAAATCCACTAAAATAGCACAAGTTCTCATAAAAAAATCTGCTTTTCTTGGGGTTTTTAAGCTGAAATTTTTACAATCTTTATTAAAACTTTTGATTTGGCGGCTTTATTAATCAAGAAACCTAAAAATGACTTAAAATCTTCAGAAATTACTTCCCATAAAAGCTTCAATGCTTCCCATCACATTGCCCACACATTAAGTGCACCCTTTGAGAGCATTAAGTTGTAAGATTTGATCAAATATGGATTATGAATCAAAAAATCGAGTTAGAAACCTTTGAGAATTCAATATTTTCTTCAACCCACAAGCCATAATGCATCTGGGTGTTCGCCTGATGGGATCTGCCCTCCTTGCCCTTCTCACCTTGCAGACACCCCTTCTCTTCTTTCATTCTTCCACTCCCATCACCCCAACCCGATGTCCATTTTTGCCTTTCTTTTCTTTTCTCTTCTTCTTTATTTCCCCCTTTTCAGCTATCCGATGGCTATTTTCTTATTCCTTTCCCTCTTTTCTTTTATTTTCCCTCAAGAATGACGCAATTTTTCTTTGGTCTTCAAATTACCACCCCCAACTTTTGCCCCGTTGCCTTGAATTGTTCCAGAATATCTGGGCTCGGTTATTTGGTTTCTATTTTTGATATGATGATCAGGGATTTCTGGAATTGGATAGAAATGGATTGAGGAAAAGAAATCCAAAGGGAAATGTGTAGAAAACAAGAACTTTGAATGTTAAGCTTTATTAATATTGAAGTTAAGCTTTCCGACTATCCAAAAGATCTAGAAAGATCATTTTTAAAAATCCACAATCTATCATTGTTAGCTGTATATGCCAGACGTAAAATAGAATCAGAAAACCCTTTTTTTGTTCAGTTTTAATCCTTTCCTGATTTAAGGCTTCACATTGATTTAAAAGTACGCAAAAAGGTTCAATTTTTGTCGATTTCAGTGAGATTTCGTGGGAATTATGCTAAAACCGGAAAAAGACTAAACAAAGTTTAAGTTTATGAAATAAAAGGTTAGTCTTAAAATTCGGGATTACCCAAAATCCACAATAGATTTGAAAAACAAGGTAAAAACTGTACACTAAAGTAATCGAAATTTACTGTAGTGAAGTTAAAAGCTTAAGTAATGAAATAATGCTGTTTTTTAAGACAATGAGATATGATTTTGCTAGTTATTACCTTTTTTTTCTGAGCTAAACTGGGCAGAGAGCACTTTCCCCACAATAATTGAATCATCCGCGGAAGTGAATGAGGTGATTTCATTTCACACACCTTTTTCTCAACTCTTCGCCCGAAATAACCCCGAAAACTTTCGTCATTTTCATCAAAATTCTTATTCTTTTGTTCCAATTTGCCCCCAAATGTTTGCGCTTGTTTGAAGCGTTAAACGAATCTCCTCAAATGACTCTTTTTCTTCTCCTTTTTCTTTTTCTTTTTCCTACCCACTCACTCCCACACATTCATCACATCATTCGGGCTTTAAATCATGAAAATTTTAAAACTTGAACCTATACTTTGGCCCCTCATAAACGAAACCCATCTGGCAAACCGATGATTTCGTTTGATTGAGTTAATCCAATCCAAAGCTGCTTTATTTGCTAAATAACAACGGTGAAACTTGAACCAGCCAAACTAGCTTTAGACTCTCATAAACGCAAGTCAATTGGGAAGCCAATTGACAAATCAATTGACAAACCAATTGACAAACCAATTGGCAAACCAATTGACAAACCAATTGGCAAACCAATTGGCAAACCAATTGACAAGCCAATTGACAAACCAATTGGCAAACCAATTGGCAAACCAATTGACAAACCAATTGACAAACCAATGGGCAAACCAATTGGCAAACCAATTGACAAATCAATTATGCTCCATTCAATCAATCCAATAGTCTAATAGATAAATAAATTCAATTTGCCTTATTCAGAATTTCTTTTTCTTTCAATTTATTCCCCCGATTCTTTCCTTAAAGTCTATTTCTTGAAGCCTGGTTGAACTTGAGCAAAAAGGAAAAGAGTCCAACAATTTAGACCTCCATTAGGGACTCACATATGGAAGGGAAAAAGAAAAGAAAAGAAGGGATCGATGTTTCGACTCAGACTCAATTTGGGAAAGAAGTTTATGTTAAGAAAAGAAAATGATTCTAGGAAAAGCGAGAGAAAGATCTATGAACCTGCAAATACAAATTGCTTTTTTCTGGGAAATGAGAGAAGATCCCGGGGAAAAGTTGTAGTTGAAAGATCGGGGATTTCGAGAAAATAGATTTTCTGAAAGAAATTTCAAAGTTGAATTCAATCTGATCGATCTTTGAGTGTATTAGAATATTTATTTCACAGTATTGTAAAGCTTTGATGCCAGAAATCATGAGTTTGCAAGCTTTGATTAAAAATTCGAATTTGACTTTCTATATAAATTTCTGCAAAATAAGGAAGAAAATTTCTTAAAGCTTGAGTTGAGAACAAAAATAAATGTCATTAGTATCCAAATGGTTGGCCGTGTGTTATATATTACTTACCGTAAATACTGTAATAGTACCCCACCCCCATAATGACGGTGCGGAGTGTTTCGTAGTCTAGCTTTGAACGAGTTTTTCTCGACACTGGTTTATGCTACAATGCGCGCTTAGGTATCAAAAAATAGCCCTGAATTTCAGCTATTTTTTGATACCAAAGACGCATTTTTTGAAAGTACGGGCGATTTGAAAAAAAATGAAATACTAAAAAACTACACGACTGTACGAGGGTGGTGGGATACTATTACAGTATTTACGGTAACTATTTTGGCGGCAAGATTGAACCCTTGACCTTCCGATTAGAACACAAGACTCCTAACCAGTCCTAACAAGAAACTTGTTTGAATGTTCTTCGTCAACCGTTCCATAACTCCTAATTCTTTTTCTATAAACTCTTACCGTCAATACTGTAATAGTACCCCACCCCCATAATGACGGTGCGGAGTGTTTCGTAGTCTAGCTTTGAACGAGTTTTTCTCGACACTGGTTTATGCTACAATGCGCGCTTAGGTATCAAAAAATAGCCCTGAATCTCAGCTATTTTTTGATATCAAAGACGCATTTTTTGAAATTACGGGTGCTTTGCAAAAAATGAAATACTAAAAAACTTTTGCGACTACCCGACTGTACGAGGGCGGTGGGGTACTATTACAGTATTTACGGTATTTATAAACAAAGAAAATTCCTATTTGACTGTTCAACTGCAAAATCCAAATTTAGTTGAACACGAAACGTAAAGGAAATCAGAGTTACATAATCAGAGTTGAAAAAGTCGCATTAAACGGTTTTCCCTTGCCTAAGAGTCCTGGTTTTAAATTTTTAAACATTAATAGTTTGGAATCGTTGAAGCATTTCAAAATGAATGAATCTTTTCAGAATCGCCGATCAAGAGCTGACCAACATCGATAAACAGATCAATGAGCGAAAGGAGAGCGCGAGGAAACTCGTCGGGACACAGGTGACAAAAGATATTCAATTGATAACTTTAAAACTTTAAATTTCTTTGAAATCCAAACCTGTTACTTGTTTTTTTTTTCTTAAAAACGCACCTCACGAGCAGTTAGTGTCGGAATTGATTGAAAGACTCGTTCGTTTGGTTGCAGCTTTGACTTTGCATCGAATTGAGTTCACTATTTTGCTTCACAAAGATTTTGTCCGATAAGATTTTAGGATTTTAAATGATTTCGATTTTCAGGACGATGCTATATGTCAAATTTGCCAGAAGACGAAATTCGCTGATGGAATTGGGCACAAATGTTTCTATTGTCAGTTGAGGAGTTGCGCGAGGTGTGGAGGGAGATCGCAAGCGAAAAATAAAGTAAGACTTTCAAAATAGAGTCTTTCAAAATAGTTCAAAAAGTCTTTCAAGGGTAGTTTGTGCTCAAAATCGGGAAACACAGCCTTTCTGGTGTAGTGAAATCCTTTGTTTTTGGGGAAATTTGAAGATTTGGAGTCAAAGTAGAGATTTGGAGCCAGAGTAAAGATTTGGAGCCAAATCTACCTCTAAATATTGCTGAATTTGTAGATTTTTCAACGAGTTAATTGTTTTTTCGACTTTATTTTTCAATTTCCAGCCAATCTGGGCTTGCTCGTTGTGCAAGAAACGACAAGAGATTCTGATGAAAACGGGTAAATGGTTCCAGCCGGATGATCCCAAAGGAATGAGGTAAATAGCTTGATCTCTAATATTATCTAACGATGGTAAAACATTTTGCCCTCTTTGCCATTGGCAATCAAACTTTAAGCCCAAATTTCTTGGTGTTCTGCTGTCGAATTTCAATAGTTTTTGTGCCAATCGACAGAGAAAGACTTGCCGCATCCAATGAGACCAAGAAGATGCGAATTCAACAACCCAACACCAAGATATTTGAGCTCAAAGTTAGATTGCTGATAAGAAAAGTCCGATAACCTTAACACCTATCACTTTCAGTCCAAGCCCCTCGATGACCGGCTACTCTGACATAATGTCGATGTCGCAAAGTCAGAACCAATTCCCGCAACAACCACCCCAACAACAGCAAACAATCCAGCCACAACCACAGCCACAACCCATTCAACAACAACAACCACTTCAACAGGAAAGGCAGCCACAAGTTCAACCTCAACCCCAGCAAATGGCATCACAACAAATGCCACAAACCTCATCGCAAGGATATCCACCACAACAAGGATATCCGCCACAGCAACAACAGGTTACTTTATAAGAGATCAGTCTAAATGCGGGTTTTTCTCGCTCCTGGTCTTAAGCCATACAGCGCAATCAGGAGCGCGATCGTCTACGACCCACACGCTCTGGGTTCGACTCCCGTGTGTTTCAGTCAACCTTGATTTTTTCAAATTTTTTGTTAATTGGCACAACAGGGCAAATCAAACGCAGCCCAAAATAGCGGATTTGCATTTGACCACCGCACAACTATTAATCTTCTATTAGAAAGAGCAGTCTAAAACCTAAATAACACGAAAAATAGGCATACTGAAAAAGAAAAATTCAAAATAGAAACTTTTGCAAATCAACCATTCAAATTCTTAAACGCACTATGAAAATATTGTTATTTATCGACACAAATAAAAATCAAAGGACAAATCAAAACAATAATCTGAACGACCAGAACGATTAATTACTGAAAATGCGGTCTGGCATTGAATTGATGAGGTTTTGAAGAGCAGAGACGTCGAGACGCTCCAGGCCGAAAAATTGCTGCTTTAAGTGCAGAAACGTCTTGAAACTGACGATGACGTAGACAGCTCGGACAAGTATTCCCATAAATTTTCATCGGATTGAGGTCAAGAGACGAGCGGGCAGCCAAAGTGCAAGTGTTGCTGTCAGCCAGTTCAGGGGTCTCCGGCCGAGAATTGACGCGTTGTCGTGTTGAAACAAATCGGGAACGGTTGATTAGGAGCCAAAATGGCAACAAGCAATTGTCAAGAACATCTAGTCACCGATCGAAACCATCTTCAGAGCGACCGTCCACAGCACAAAAGGCGGCCCAAACCAAAGAACACCGTCAAAGTTTCGAGCAAACACCATCGGACCGTCGAAGACCCTCCAATAGAGCCAACGCCATCGGGGCCATCCAAATTCCACCCACGGAAAAGATCACCAAACGCAAAAAAATAAAACAAGCGGATCCAACCATAGACCAATTTTGATTCATATGAGCTGGCGAAGGCCAATCGGGCCTCGTGCAAAGCCACGGTGGTGGAGTTCAATAATTGTTGATCGATATGTGCGTTCCGATGGCTCGCCATTTTCGACTCGAAGAGTCGATTTCCGTTCCGTTTTCACTTCATTGACGTTTTCCTGGAGTTGTTCATAATAGGCGCAGCCGCGGTGTAAGCTTTGGTTTTGGTCCTGGCTCTCTTTGGGAGAAACGAACTCGACTTATATAATGTCGCATGGAAGCGGATCGGCCCAAATTTTTGCGATTTTCCTTATTGGTCGCCAATGCTCAAACGGGACAACTGGCCTCTCATAACCGGAGCAGCTCCGGGCCATTTACCTGAAAATTAACAAAATTATAAATTTAATAAAATACGCACAACAAACGAAAAATTTCAAATACAACAGCAAAGGCGGGTGCGTTTAAGAATTTGAACGGTTGATTTAGCAAAGTTTCTATTTGAAAATTTTTTTTACAGTATGCTCTTTTCGTGTTATTTAGGTTTTAAGACATGCTCTTTCTAATAGAAAAAGATTAATAGTTGTAGCGGTGGTCAAAATGCAAAATCTGCTATTTTAGAGGCTGCGTTTAAGAATTTGAAACGGACTGTATAATATATTCTAAGGTTTTCTAAAGAAATTTTAGCTTTATTGGTCAAAACCTGGCCAAGAAAATGTTTGTATAGATAGGCAGACATTGTTCTTTCAGATATAGTAGATGTAGTGAAAAAGTATTGCAATTTGCAAACGTGTAAACGATTTTGATCAATGCGATTGAATATCTCATTTTCAGATACCCTCATCGAGTGTTCAAGGTTTCCCCCAATCAAATCCACCACTCCAATCACAACCATCCCAACAAATGGCTCAACAAGCCCCACCACCACAACAAAAACAACAACAACCACAACCACAACAACAACAACCCGTTCAACCAAAACCAGGTATCATCAAATTTATATTCAACTTCTGTCTCTCAATATCTAATCTCTCTATTTTGTGCAGAAGAAACGAGCCTCACGGCTCAGGCTTCCCGGCTGGCGAGCGGATTGACCGGTGGATTGACCGGATTGTGTAAGCTTGAAGAGAAAATAGAGTTATTTGAGTATTTTTGAGAATTTGAGACAAAAGAGCACTTGATTTTGCAAAGGATTACCAATTTTATAAAAAACAAAAGACTGACGAGAGTGGGATTCGAACCCACGCCTCCGAAGAGACCAGTGCCTTAAACTGGCGCCTTAGACCGCTCGGCCATCTCGCCACGTTTCGGGTGGAGAATTATTGTTACCAAAATCAAGTGCTCTCCTTTGTCTCTCATTGAGTAGTTCGTGAAATCCCAATGCATTTGTGCAGTCAAATTTTTGCAAATTCGAACTTTTTTTTGGTTCAAAAAGCTAACACAACAATTTTGACACACCAAAAACCTCTCACATTTTGCTGATCTCATTTTTTTTGGCTTTTCTTTTGACGAAATGGTTTCTTTATTTGTCTCTCACTGCGAGTGCCCAATTTGCACATTTAGTGAACATTTTGTGTTGAAATGACTTGATATGATCATGTTAGTTGAATTTTTTGATGTGTTGATGATAAAGCTTCTCAAAAACTTTAGAATTTCCATAGATTAGAAGTTGACAGTCTCAAAATTCATTAGGCAAGTACATTTTCTGAAAACCTTTATCATCAATACATCAAGCAAGTCTAGTTGAGTAGCTATGATTGTTGAAATGAAGTGAATGATGAAATTTCAGTCAAATCGAGCACAAGCACCGCACCGCCACCGACAACGAATGGAGCCACACAACAACAGAAACAGCAACAACAAGGGCAACAAGGGCAACAACAACCGATGAGAAATGGTTAGCATTTTATGTTTCTATCTTTCGGACTAGTTTTTAAGACTTATATTCTCAGAAGCTGGTTGATTTCCCTCTAAAAACTAGGCTTGGGCAATCGGGTCGTTTCTGGTCGACCTGACCCGACCCGAAACCTATGTCTATTAAAAGCCTGCTTTCAGGACCCCAACAAGGCCCGCAAGCTCAACAACGAGGTCAAGGTCAAGGTCAAGGTCGTCAACAATACCCACAACAAGGAGGACCACAAAACCCGCTTCAACGGCAAACGAGTCTAGGACAAAGGGTAAGTGAATGTGAGGACAAGGTATAATATTGGGTGAATGCAGATGAAATTACTAATCAATGTAAATTTCTCCACCAGAGTAGCTATCTATTTCTGTTTGGTTAGAATGAAAAGCTAGAATCTTAAGCTAATAACAGAGCAACTTTTTATTTGTCCCGAAAAGATGGAGAAACTTTTCGATCATTAGAGTCAACTCAACTTTGATGTTCTTTTGAGCCAAACTTCTATTAGCTCGATATTTTTTTAATCAACATGGTTTTATTCAAAAGATTTGAGTGAATTTTTATCACGATGTTTTCTTGAGTTTTATGAATCATTTGAAGCGATAAAGCCTGAAATTTCTTAATAAATTCACTTTTTATTGAAAACGCTAATAAAAATCATGATTGTTTGAAATAGTTTGTTCGACAGATAGAATCTTTGGTCAAAAAGTCTATTGCATAACTTCCTAGCAACAAATTATAAAAGAATCTTTTGGAAACTAGTGATTGGTTGAGGGAATCTGGAAAAATATAGCCATTTCATACCCAATAACTTGATTACAGGAAAGAATGCAACGTCAATCATCGGCTTCTGGTTACGGACCTCAATCATCTCGTCCAGTAAATGGAACAAGACCAGAAGATCAACGATTGAGAAGTCAGGCATCGATCGATCGAGAAAATGAACGATATCGTGATGAGGATCGAAGAAGAGATGATGAAAGGAGGAGAAGGTGGGGTTGAGTATGAGATAATTGAAAGTACTTTTTGAAAGAACATAGTGAAATCAAGAACTATGAAAGAATTTACTTTCAGAAACGAAGAGCGACCGATGTTCTACACGGAGAATGAGGATCGGCCCCTCGATGATAGAGATCGGTGAGTCTTGGACCTCTTGATCTTTTTGCTTTCAAAACTTCTATAAGATTTTTGTTTTGTCCCGTAACTTTTCCCGAAGCTTATGTTCTTTAAAAGCACGAGTGCCGTCATTTTTGATTTCCCCATTTCAGATTGCATGCAAGAGATGGACGAGGAAGTCAACAAAGGAGAACACCATCGCCGACGAATAGAGATCGGTGAGTGAAGGAGATGAGAGAGATTTGGCGAGACTTTGAACAGCCAAACAAATAATATTGATGATTTAATGTAAAGCTGGTGAATGTCGGAAAGTCTAAGAATTCACAAAGAATTGGCTCTTCCAGCCTTGCAAAAAAGAATTAGCCAATGGATCAAATATCCAAAATTCTCTAATTTTCTCTAATTCTCTAATTTTGCCTCAATTTTTTGTTAAAAATACCTGAATGCACTTTTTTATTGTACCCAAAAACATCGATTCCCAAAAATCACCAAAATCTAACCTCAGCTAAATCTTTAACTTCTCGATATTATCTTATTCCCTTTCCATTTTCCCGACGAGTGTTCTGTGTTTTTTTTTCAGAAAAATCAGTTACGGTTTCCCCGATTTGTCAACTTTCTTTGAGAATCTCGACGAGGCGGATAGGTGATTTGTGAAAGAAAACAAAAAAACGAGTGCTTTTCAAACTATCTTTTTTCTTTTTCGGATTCCTTTTTATCAAATCTACAAGCTTATTGAATCTATTGCAGTTTACTTTCAGAAATCAACTAGAAATGAATCTGATTTAAATTTTTAGAGAGTACGACAATCGACGGAAAGTCTCGCAACGAGGTCGATCACCAAATGGGCCAGTCAACGATTTGGCAATGGATCAACAATATGGGTGAGTTTGGAAATATTGAAATCTTTTGACCAAAGTTTATAACAAAAGATCGAACTTTTTTTGTTTAGTAGAACTTTCTAAACAATTCTAGTGTTACTCTGACTACTTGATCCCAAAAAGACACTCTATTATTCTTAAAAATTGCTAGTTAAGATGGTTTGCTAAATCATAGGTAAATAAACAATGTGAGAAATGAATTTGAGACAAAAGAGCACTTGATTTTGCAAAGAATTAGCAATTTTACAAAAAACAAAAGATTGCTGACGAGGGGTGACCCCCTCGGTTTGCGCTCGCCAATTATTTTACCAAAATCGCCCTTTTCCCTGGTAGTTCGTGAAATCCCATGCATTTGTGCAGTCAAATTTTTGCAATCCGAACTTTTTTGTTCAAAAAAAAATTGGCCACCAAAACCTCTTTTTTGGCTTTTTTGACGAAATGGTTTCTTTATTTGTCTCTCACTGCGAGTGCCCAATTTGCACATTTAGTGAACATTTTGTGTTGAAATGACTTGATATGATCAACTTTGATATGTTAGTTGAATATTTTGATGTGTTGATGATAAAACTTCTCAAAAACTTTAGAATTTCCATAGATTAGAAGTTGACAGTCTCAAAATTCATTAGGTAAGTACATTTTCTGAAAACCTTTATCATCAATACATCAAGCAAGTCTAGTTGAGTAGCTATGATTGTTGAAATGAAGTGAATGATGAAAAAAACTTTCAACTTTCAGCTCCACGAATGCCACCGGAACGACAACAACTGGACGACCAGAATTCCGAAGAAATCGAACAGTGGCGAGAACGGAAGATGACATGAGAAAACCGTCAACGAGCAATCGACCAATGGAGGTTGAAGCTGTGCCGAGAGAAGGATCAATTCATCGACATAAGAAGACACGATTGCATAGGTAAAGATAACTTTGAATCGATATTGCATAGTCATTTTGAGTCATTTTCCTATTTTCCTATAGTCATTTTGAGTAAAACTGCGTTTTTAAGAATTTCGAGCAGCTTTCCAGCTCTCAATTAAGCACTAATTCCCTAATTCACCTCAATTTGCGCTAAATAGGGTAAAGACGTAAAGAGTTGAGTCCAAAAAAAGTCTTCCAGTAAAAGTCAGCACTGATTTTTAATCTTTTGATAAACTATTGCTATTCTTGTGCTGATGATATAATCGATTTTAGACAATTGAGATCAATGTCATCATCGGAGGATGATCAACGCCCATCCACTTCAGACGGGCATCCAATGGGGACAGGCGGGCAACTTGGTGTCAGTGTTGGCGGTAGGTTAAAGCTTACCAGTTGCACTTCTTATTTGACTAAGCTTTAGCTAATAATCCCAAAAAATAAATGTAATTCTAGAGTCTAAAGCTAAAATAGATGTTAGAGTGTAAGTTGTGGCATTGCAGGTCCAATCACAGCCACCCAAGCCGGCTTTGGAGAGGATTCCGTCCAAAGAGTGCCTGATGAATGCACAAGCGAGAAGGGTTTGTGTCAGTTTTCGTCTTACCCTTAGAAAATTTCTTTTCTATTTTTTGTTTCAAATCAAACATGTATCACATTGGTGTCATTTGAGTCATTTTCCCAATGTAAATTCTAAAGAAAACACTTTGTTTTATCATTTCCTTTTCGAATTTTACCCTAAAAAGTAATTCATCCGCATTTTTAGATCTCTTACGTTATATCTACGGACCCGAGAAGCTGAATGGAAGAAAAAGTGGGTAGAGTTATGCAAAATTTACAGAATTTGAGGAGTTTTGCTCTTTCTAAAGTTCAATGAGCGATTTTCGGGACACATAATACCCCATCTCTTTGGGAAAAGAGGAAGTAAAAGAGAGTAGGAGATCAAAATTCAGAAAATCTCGAATCTGCTCCACTTCCAAACATGATGAATAACTTAAGAATTTCGGATTTGAGAATTTTGATGAGATGAATGCAAAAGCTCAGCATACATAGTTAGTGCATTCCTTGAAAGTTCTAAATTTAGCTTAACTTTGACTAGGACTATTGCTAGACTTAAAATTGGAGGCTAAGCAAGCTAAAGGTCTTAGTTTCTTGGTTGTTCAACTTTGGCCTGATTTGTCATGGTTTTTCAAAGAAATCCTGCTTTTACCGTAAGCGTTCAGGCAGTTCAACGAATCGTCTCCGAGCCGCTGACGAACATGCAGAAATCATGCCAAAGAAGGTGACACCAAGTGTCATTCCGGGAGATATGCTAGCGGCAAAGATTCGAACTTATCTATCAGTGAGTTTAAAAAGATTAGAAATTTATGCTGCAGTCGTTAAACCGAACCGAACTCTTGCCATTCTAGCATCCAGTCACGTGGCAACCTTCAGCCGATCAACGGAGATTGATAGGACATATGATATTACATCGAACAGACAGCGTATCAAATGGAGATCTTGGGTTGAAAGTGAGCTTTACTGTTTATTGCTCTTTATACTATCTTGTTTTAGGTAATCGGTGGTAGACGAACGGATACAGGTCGTTTGGGAGCTTTCATCACTCAAGTGAGAACTGGATCGGTGGCGGATACGGTTGGAAGACTGAGAAGAGGTCAGTTATTTGCATATATTTGAAAAATACTCAAATTTTATTGTTGTATAAAGAAATGGGATCATTATCTAGGTGATGAAGTCCTTGAATGGAATGGGGAGAGCCTTCAAAATCTGACATTTGATCAAGTGTATGATGTGATCGCGAGAAGCAAGAATGAGACCCAAGTTGAGCTGATTGTCAGCAGATCGGCGAGGTTTTGAGTGAAAAAGAAACAGATATGATATTAATTTAGTATGCCGGGTGGTGACGACTTCTTGAACGTGCATCAGCAGAGTTATGTGCCTCATGCAAGTGCCGCCATTTCCGGTCCTCTTATCATGCCTCATCCACAAAGACATCTACCTGATCCACATTATGTGGCGGCACAAGGTAACAAAAAAAAATGTCACGATGCTAATAGAGTTTACAAGATGGTAATTTGGAATCTGAAGGAAAGGTTAATGTATTAGGTTGGTGAATTGAAAACTGCCGGACTTTGAACTAAAATTTATTGAACATAAAACCATGAATTCATTCCAAATAATTTCCATTATTATTGACGACTTCTGCCCATTTTACAGGCAATTTGCGGATTCCTCTTTCGTAGTAGGATTTTGGTTTGTGTGTGAGACAAGTGTGAGACTCAAAAATGGAGGACTGGAGATGTCCCAGTTTGAGCACTTTCTTCAAAAGAAACCCATTTTGGTGTCAATAGAAAAAAAAGACTGAAAAAATAAAACACGACGAAAGACTGAAAAATTCTTTGTGGCGGGGTCCTTTTATTGCGTCGGATTACGGTAGTTTCCGACGTTTGGCGCGGAAACGTCTGAAAGGCAAAGGCATTCGAAATTGAAAACTGCGGGCTATGGTCATATGTGACAGTTTGAGCACTTTCTTCAAAAGAAACTCATTTTGGTGTCAATAGAAAAGTTGTAGAGAATCAAAAATTAGGCTTATAGCCAAATTTCCAAAAAGATACACTTAGTACTTTCGCTTAAAATGCAAGTTTTGTAAAAATTCGTAAATTTCGCATTTCTTGAAAACCAGTTTTTGAATCGTTCTGAAAATTTGGATAAGCTTCATCTTTGATTGTCTACAACTTTTCTATTGACGTTTCTTTTGAAGAAAGTCCTCAAACTGTCACATATGACATCCCGATCACCAACCCAATAGATTGAGATTTCAAAACCTGAAACGGTTGCTTGTCCGCGATTTCCCGTAGCATTTTCGTGTCCATTTTGTGGTCGTTTAGCTCGACAATGTTTTTCATAGCAATCTGGACAAACTGTATTTCTTAAAGCTTTCTCCACTTACCGTAAACTGATAAGCTTCAAATTCTTGAGTCGTTTTATTCAACTTAATGTCACTTTGCCATTATGAGGCACCGCCTGTGTACTTTAGCCATTTCAGCAACTAAAATCTTTATGATATGACAATAGCAAACATATGAAAATAGCCCGCAGTTTTCAATTCACCAACCCAATAGCTTCAAAAGTAAGACTTTCAGACTGCTTTGAAACTCTAGTTGCAGGTGTAATAGAGCTTGTAATAAGAAAAGAAACCCAAACTCAAAAATGAAACAATTTTATTCTCAAATACCCTAAAAGCTGGAGGTTCTGATAACTTTTGTATCAATATTACACTTTGACCTCTACAAGTACAAGCTCTTGTCTACCGTAAAGAATTTCCAGAAGAACTCCGTCTCACCTCTCCCTCCCATTCTCCACTCCTCGCTCAAATGCCCCATTCACAATCAGCCACCCTCCCACAATTACCACTGATGATCCAGCAGAGTCCACGACACAAGCCATCACTGCCGATCTACTTTTCGCCAAGTGAGATATTTTTGAAAGCTAACTTGCTCAAAACATTACTTGCTCAAAGTCTAATCATCAATTCTGTTCTCCTTAAAATCGTTAACTTTTCAGCTGAAATTGAGCCACCAGCTTTCCTATTGGAATCGGGTAAAGATAAAAGATTTTAATTTTTTTTGTCCTTGAGTGATTACTAACTTAGCAATTTTTTTTTCTGTTTTTGTTTGGTTATAAGTTAACAAAGAGTGACTTTCTTTTTTTTATCTGCTTACAATTTTCTTCAGCTATCGCTCCAATGATGTGCGCTCAAAGTGATTATCAATACGCAAAGGGGCAAATTTTTGGGACAATCGAGGTAAGTCAACTAAGACAACTAGCTTTAAATGCTTTTCTTGATCATTTTAGTTAAGAATCCAGTTCTTTTTTGGATATATCAAGACAATTATGATTATTTGTAGGTATCTTTGTTCTATTCTCTGCACGAGCGTCTCCTCACCGTCACTCTCATTCGTGCCTACGATCTTCCACCACGACCCGATGGAATGCCCCGGAATCCTTATGTGAAACTATTCTTGCTGCCGGATCGAAGGTACTAGATCTCTTTAGAAAGTCAAACCAGAAACCAAACCACTCTGCTTTCCTAACATCAAACTAGAAATCTAAAACCAAACCAATCTTACAGTTCTGTAAAAATCGGATAATTTTTGATAACATTAAAATGAACTTGATGTTAAACACAGATCAAGTTGTTCACTTCAAACAAATCTCTTTTCAGTGAAGCCTCAAAGCGACAATCTTCTGTTCTTGCGGAAACGACAATGCCCGTTTGGAATGAAGAATTCTATTATAAAAATCTGACTGAACCCATTTTAATGGAGAGGATTTTGGAAGTAAATCTATCAATTTATTAATCCATTAACAATAAAATTCTAGGTCACTTTATGGGATTACGATAAATATGAAGCGAATTCGTTTCTCGGAGAAGTTTTAATCGATTTCTCGATGATTCCTTTGGATGGACAAGCGTTGAAGTTCACTATGGCCGACATGGATCAAGAGAATCCGCTGAGATCGGTGAGTGGCACGAAAAACTGGCTAAAAAGAATGAGCTCTGAAAGTTTTGATTTGATATCAAATTTTCAGAGACTAAGGCTACGACGATCCTCGCAACACTACGGCCAACTCCCGCAGCGACCCCGCTCAGAGATGACAACATATTATGGAGATCGATATGGGCCAAGGTTTGAAAATAACTGTTATGAATGAATGATTCGATTTCAGGTCTCATTCATCTGATCCCTATTCGGGGGAATACACTTATGATGGAGTGCCTGGAGCTCGACAACAACTCTTTGATAACGCACAAATGCGAAGATCGAGAACGTATGATAGAGGGAGAATCGGTGGTGGAGGGGGAAGGATCACACCGCTCGAATATCATCAACGAGATGTGAGTTTAGCAGAGAGAAAAACAGTAACCGATTCCAGTCCAGTCCAGGCAATCCAAGGCAAAGAAGTCAAGCCCAGATCTGGCTTTTGGCTCATCTAGAGACTTTTGTCGGTCATTTCTGCAATAAAGTCATGCCAAAGCTGGACTTGGCCTCATAGTCAAGCCTGATCCGAGCTTTGCCTGCCCTGGCGAAGGTTGAGAATCATCAACACCAACCCATTTCCAGTACCGTGTCGAAGATGACTGGACCCAAAACAATCAATCTGGTTATTTATCCGACCACGGCTACACCCAACCCATCCAAGTCCAACGATACCGACACCGAAGACCCCGATCAGCCACAGCGATGAGACCAAGTAAGCCGACATGTTCATAAGGTTCTGAAATGCAATAGCATGTTTTGAAAACTAAACTTGATTGTGTGTTTTTCTCAAAAAGTTTTCTCTCAGCCGTTCGCCGAAAGATCGCGATTTGTCGATTGCCGCGTAAGCTCAATTACCGAAATGTTTTCGATTTGCTGATTGAAATGATTGAATTTTTCTCTACTCGATTCTTTCTTAGCCTTCCTCGGTTTTCTCTCCGATTTAACTACTGCAAAGGGAAAAGATCGATTTGGGGGGAATATGGGGAAATTTTTTAGATTTAACTTGTTCATCACTAGTTTGTCAGAGCTTTAAGATCCCCAGTCTGGTTGGTCCGGTTTATTTCCAAAAATTTTCGTTCCTAGTTAAGCTTAGACTTGAGCTGTCAGAGCTTTTGAGGTTAAGTTCGAGCCCGGTGCAGAACCTTCGATCCCGTTGTCACTAGACTGGTTGTGAGACTGTAAACTTTAACTGTTCTGAAGTAAGACTTGTCAAACTAAAGTAAATTGATATAATTGAAGATTGAGATACACTGCTTGTCAAATCTAGAACTGACAGCTACCAAAATCGATTAGGTAACTCTAATATTTCAAAATATTACAACTTTTGACCACTTTGACCCTTTGACTCGTCCCAAATCGATTCTTTTCCTCATTTCTTTTTTTGAGAGTGCCCTTCACTTAGTTCGTCAACCGTTTTTCATCAAAAATAACCCTATTGTCTTTGCCGAGAAAACCAAAACAATGCCTAATTTTCCTCAAACCAAAATAACCCCTCAAATTGCTTCATAATCAAAGCAAAAAAAAGCAAAGTGTGCTGCTTTCAGTGACTCAAACTGTCAATAGCTTACTGTGATTGGTTCAAGTTATAGAAAGACTTTTCAGTGACAGCTGCCGAGATGAGCGCAAGTCGGATGTATAGCCGAAACTTGCCCAGTGATCCGTACTATAATCAGGTTAGGTTTGACAACTTTTGAAGAACTTTTATTTTGTTTTTCTAGGATTACGAGGATCAACCCCCGCCTCCACCACAACATGCACAATATTATCAACAACAAGATCAACAACAACAACAGCAACAACAGAATATGATGCAGCAAAAGTACGGGAGTTCTTTTACTGTAGTCTTTCTTCCTTCTTTCTTCCTTTCTTCCTTTCTTCTTTCCCCTTGTCTTTCCTTCTTTCTCTTGGCAAGTTAAGGGGCCGGATAGCTTAGTGGTTAGAGCAATTCCCCGAAAGCAAAAGGTCAAAGGTTTAAGCCCCTCTCTACTTTTTCTTAACAACTCCTTCACTTCTTTACTAGTCTTATTGTAGTCTTCTTTACTAGTCTTTACTGTAGTCCTATTGTATTATGCCTGCTCATTTTCAGTTATACCATCCAACAACAGCAGCAAATGCTTCAAGGACAACAAATGATGACGAATCTCCAAGAACCCCTCCGACATGACCCTCGTTCACCGAATGGACGAGTGATCATGGGCGAAACTGCAGGTTATGGAAGTGATGGAAGTGAATCGCTCAGTCTTCACTCCGCTCATTCAATGCCTACTGTGAGGTGAGAAATCTTGAACTGAAACCCTAGAATTAGAATTGCGATGTTGTGACATCTGCCAATTTCTAAAAATCAACTGAAGCTTATGTTCCAGAACAATCAATCGTCGCCGAATTCAACCTGAAGTTCATGATGATGAAGATTACATGCATGAAGGAGGACATGGTGCAGAAAGGAGAAGAGAAAAAACACAAAGGGAGAAGGTACCCGCGAATCAACAAGCTGCACAAGAAGCAAAAGAAAGGAAAAAGAGTCTCATGACGAGATTCATTCCCGGAAGAAATGCGCCAGGTCAAGGTGAGTGGATTTGATTCGAAGAAGCTTGTGTCTAATCATCGATTTCAGGAAAGCGAACCGGTTTCGCGCGCTCGGAAGAGGTGGGAATTCCGGAGAATCTGAGTTCGGATCGCCTCCAAACGGCTCCTTTTTTAAAGCAAACGAGCAAGGAGAGCACGGATAGCAGTCATTCAGACAAGTCAGAGAAATTGTTTTGATTTTGAGAACAAGACATTTAGCTGGTTGCCCGTTCTTCCCGATGGCCCACTTGGAACGTTTGTTGACAATTTGGGACCGGGACAAGTTGTTGGAAGACAGGTGGGAGGGGTTGGAGTAGGGTTGGTTTAAAAGACAAAGCCCTGGCTTTACTGCAGAGCTGGCTCAGGTCTTGATCGCAGAGCCTGAACCTGGCTTCTGAATCTCTTCTGAATCCAGTCTAACTTACAGCAAACCATTAATCAGTCGTTCAAAATCCGTAAAGTCACTGAATATTGTGTTTTCCCCTTTTTTAAAGGTTACTTTTTGAAATGAATAATGAACCAATCGATCTATGATTTATTTTATTAGAAAGTACTATTATTTATTTACAAATTGTTCTTTAAGAAATTCTGAAAAGCTTGCGTTAGTTCATTTTTTTAAAGCTGTGAAGTTAAGTAGTCAAAAACGATGAAACTCAAAGTTTCGATTTGAGCACAGAAACCTATTTTGGTGTCAAAAAACAAAAGATAGAGAATGAAAAGTTAGATAGATCCTTTATAGACAAATTTTCATAACATTTCCTCAAGCTGTTTTCATTCTATGTTCATTGTAAGGATTTTAGGAAAAACAAGAATTCCTCTTCGAATTTCCTTCAAAGTGGACTCAAATTTGACTAAAAATGAGCTAAATAAAATAGTTAATTTTTTATTTAAAGAAAACCACACGTTTATCGGCTAATTATTCATTTATAAACGAAAATTTCAAAAAAGGCGGACAAGACTTTCCGGCCAAAACCAATATTTTACCTAACAATTTCACGCTTAAAAAATTTAGGTACTGGCTTCACCTGTCCTTGGCGAGCTCCAAATCGGCATCATGGCTCACCGATCGAGCATTGACGTTGAAGTGATTCGAGCGAAGAATCTTGTCGTCAAACCGGGCACGAAAATCAATCCAGGTTGGCACTACAAATTTTATTTCTATTTTATCGACTTTCAGCTCCCTATGTGAAAGTCTATCTAATGGAGGGGAAACAGTGCATCGCAAAGGCGAAAACGAATCCCGCTCGAAAAGGGACATCTCCTTTATTTCAACAACATCTCATCTTCAACGATAATCCGAAAAGGAAAATGTTGCAGGTAAACAAAAAAAATTCAATCAGAATCAATCTAACTCAAAAAATTTCTAGATAACAGTGCTCGGTGATTATGGTAGAATGGAGAGGAAATCTTTCATGGGTATTGCCCAGATTCGACTTGATGATCTCGAATTGAGTGAGTGTTTGAAAAAGTTATTGAACTCGAGACTCAGCTGGTTTTTGACGAAACTTATAGTTTTTTTTGACTTGAGCTAATTAGATTTGTTAGAACTAGTGTTTATTTTCAGTCAAAGTTTCTAAAAAGTCTCAAACTTCTCGAGAGGCACAAAGTTTCACCTAATTTATTGATTCTTGCAATAACTAGTCTTGCAATAACTACAGAATCTCGACAACTTCTGAGTCCAAAGTTCAAGGCTATAAAACTTGGGTTCTTGCTTTGCCTGGCTTAATTTTATGGCATATTTGAAAGCTATTATCTGAATAGTATCTGTTTTGCAATACCAAAAGATATGAAACGAGGATAAGCAGAAAAGTACGATTATTTCTGTTTCAGGTCCCGAGCCGGTGATCGGTTGGTACAAGCTTTATCACAGCAGCAGTCTCGCCGGCACAGCTCCCATCAGAAAAGACTCCGAAACTGAACTCAACGCTCAATCACAACAACAACAATGAGCATGTTAATTGAATATTTTTTACAAATAACATCTTTAAAAGTTTTTCATTAAAGCTATAATATTAGGTTGTTCGGATATAAATGAGCGTTTGCACTGCTTAACTCGTGAGGAAGTCATTTCCCGTATCTGATCGCCTTTCCAATGGCGTGGAGATGCTCATCAATTGTAGAATTTGAACATAGAAATTGTTGAGCAAGTTCACGCGTCGTTTGAGAAGGATCCGGTTCGATTGCAGCCCTCAAAATAACGTTGTCTACCGCTTGAGGTCGACGAGAGTGTTCATGTTCCTCGAGACTTTCATCACCATTCCGAAAGCGTTGGAACTATCGGCTTTCGGACAATACATCATTCCCAAATGCTTTGATCAAATCTCGATGGGATTCCGTGATTGTTTTGCCCAGTTTAAAATCGTAAAGTAGGCAGACGCGAACTTGATATTTGAAGTCGATCATCTAAAGCAAGAAAAAAGATCTTAAAAAATAAGAAATTATCCGTTTAAAAACATTCCAAATTTACACAAGATAACGTATTTTTAAATACAGAAAGACATTTCTTTAAAAGCTTCCCTCACAACAATAAGTTTAGTAACGCTTGTTTATATCCGAACAACCCAATAATTTCACTCGTGCTCTAGAAGGCTAAAACTTTATTTTCAAAACAGATTTTTGCTTTTTGTTTTCTTGAAAATCCACAAACTGCTCAATAGTTGACCACAAAATTTACCATTTTTTCTAATTTTTATTTTTTATTTCATTTTTTTTGTTCTTGAATATCATCTTTCCCCAATACTTACGGTTATTTGTGACTTCCAAAATGTATTCCCCAAAAAATTGCCATAATAAATTATTAAATTATTATTATTCTATATTCACTTCACTTAATAATTCTTCTATTTTGTCATTTTCAAAATTTTCTCCGTTGTGATATGCAAATTATCGGGGGGTAGTCAAAACAGCGCCATAATAGAAAACGTTCAAAACAGCGCCATAATAGAAAACGTTCAAAACAGCGCCGTCAAATTTCTCAAAATCCAAAAAACCAAGCCGGTTCAATTTTTATACCAAAAAATTCTTTGCGTTCTTGGCTACATGATGGGTGAAACAGTTTTTTAGAAAAGTTAATATTTCGTAGATAAAAAGAGCACTCAAAGTGTGTGTCGAGTGATACTCAGTCGGTTAACTGAATATCTTTAGTGCTCTTTTTATCTATGAAATATTAACTTTTTTAAAAAACTGTTTCACCCATCATGTAGCCAAGAACGCAAGGAATTTTTTGGTATAAAACTTGAACCGGCTTGGTTTTTTGGATTTTGAGAAATTTGACGGCGCTGTTTTGAACGTTTTCTATCATGGCGCTGTTTTGACTACCCCCCAAATTATCATTTTACTATGCAAACTGCTAACTGAATAGCTTTTTCGAAGAGTTCTATTATTTATTTTTAGACTTTTTTTTTGGGTTTTCGCTGATTTTATTGTTTTTTCTTTGGTGATAAAGGAAATTTATAAAAAAAAACACCCGTTTTGGGCAAGTAACTTGATTGAATGATAAGATGAAGTTAGTGCGAAATAGAAAACGACAGATTTCTTTCAAATGCACTTCTATCGGACTCATTTTCTATTTTGCACTAAATACATTGATAATAAAAGGATTGAATACAAAACTAAAGATTCAACGAGGGAAATGCAAGCTTCACGTCGATTCCCAGCAAGAAACACGCGACTGTCGATTGAGCCATCCGTCTGAATTGCCTTTTGGTGATAAAGTTATTTTGTTTCTTTCAGAGTATTTTGATTATACTTTTAAAGCTTTCAAAGTTGCCCACTCAGCTGAATATCTTCTAGTTTCGTAGAGAATTTCAAACAAAAGGCGCAGCTACGAAAAATCTACACTGAAACAGAGGCGAGACTTCGTAGCTTTCATACTTACCCCATTTGTTTGAATTTCCATTAAATTTTTCCATTAAATTAAAAGATATTCAACTAGAGTTTAGGGGGACACTTTGAAAGTATAATTTCGATCTTACTATAGAATCTAATCCATTTTATTGCTACCTTAACCCATTCAACAGATGCTTACAATCAGAGCTAGACTTTGCTCTAAAAAGTGCACTTCAGAAAAAACTACCGTACTTTAACCGTTTTTTTTAAAATTGAAGCGTAAGTTTGAAGCATTTTTTTAAAGTTTTTCGTGAGTTTGAAGCATTTTCCTTGTCTCAAAATCAGTAAGATTATGGTAGCTTCTGCTGTGCACCTTTTAGAACACGAATTACCGAGAGAAACACATTCTAGTTATCGATTTTTCTGTATCAATTAGTTTTAAAACTATAAGCAGTTATACAAATTGTCAAATCTTATTGGAAATTTGAACTTGGATATTAACCTCTGCAAAATCGCTTTTCCAAACGCGGACAAATAGCTTTCCTTTGTACCCCGTTGCTCCAAATCCATCAAATAGACTGTGATGAACATTGAGATCTATAAGAAAACAGTTATTTTTTTTAATCATTTTCTATCCACTTACCGGTCTCTTATCAAGAACACTGTTCTGTATCTCTGGCGGAATATACTCTTTCGCGTCATCGATCTCCGGGGTGCACATCTCGGTCTCAATGTCGTACAATCCGGGTTGCATCTGGGAGTTTTGAAAATTCATTTAAAGATTTAACAATATTGTAATGATCCGGGATTTGAATTTTATATCACAAACCTCATCACATTTACAATCATCATCAATGCTTTTTCTTCCACTTGGTTGCCGTCTTGTCGCCGTGATGTGAGTCTGGGTTTGGGATTTCAGCTGACGACAGAAGTCACAGAACACACTGGAAATGATAAATTCTATCTAGATCATCCTATTTTAAGGATTCAATCCCTTATCTAGTTTACAACTTGATAAAAATCTCCAAACCATGTATTATCCAATTTCGCACACGGACATTGATTGACTTTTTCGTCGATTTTCTTGTTGCATGGCAGGGTGGGGTTGTTTGGATCGGGTGTGCCTGAAAAAAATAGTAGTGATTTCATCAAATTGTTTACGCACAGGATAACAATTGATCAAAATAGATCAAAATTGAAACTTAACTGATTGTCTAATCAGTTAAGTTTCAACTTTCAAAGGGATATTTTAGATGACCGAACAGAGATAACTATGACTATTAAATAGCTGTACTAGTTTATGCATTGAAAATTTCATTCTTAAAAAGTTTCTTAATATTTAGAGTTCCATTTCATAAGCCAACCAACCTCCTATCCGCATCTCGATCTCAGCTACCAGATTCTTCACGGGTTTTGTGATTTCAACTCCTAAAAAAAGCTGATTCAAGTAAGTTTAAAGTGAAGCTATTGAGGTAAGTTTGTTAAAAGCTAGCTGAAAATTGTTTTAAAGACACTAATTTTTAGTTAGATCTGTAAGTACTAGTCCGAGTTTAAATCCCTAACCTTCAGCTTTGATTTTAATGCACCCGGGAATGATCGGATTCTTTGGAATGAGCTGCACTTTATCCGGATTGAAGCGAATCGATGGTCGATATTTGGTGACATCAATCCCCTTTCGTTGAAGGTAAACTGAAAGGATTTCAGATAAACTTTCAAATTTTAGAGCTTTATTTCCAAGTTGATCACTTATGTTTTGTTTATACTCCCTGAAAAACCCATCGAAATCCCCTAAAACACAAATCGTTAAGACAATCAGTCGATTTCCTTTTTTCCATCAACTACCCCCCAAACCAATCCAACACACAGAAACAAAAGCCCGTTTTGAGAGTGAGATATCAGAAAGGATTCACAAAAGATATCAATTTCACTCTCTTTTCTTTCCTTTCTTCTTCATTTCCTTCTTTTCATCTCCATTCATCGATCCCCTTATCCATAGCTCTTCAATAGACTTTCTCCTTTCCATTCCTTCTTTTCGTCACTTTCCTTTATCCCGGTTTTGTACGCGCGATAAGTGGGACGTCGCAAAATGTGTGAAAAGATGTTTTTAGAGTTTTTAAGAATTTAAAACAAGACTTTAACTTTGACAAAAAAGCTTCAACAACTTTCTTGTTTGAACACCCAAACCTAGGCAGGTTTTTTGTTTTTTGGATGGCTAATGCTGTTCAATTTCTAACTCTAACGATGTGTAAAGCTGATTGAAACGTTTAAGGAGAATTCTCTAAAGCTCGATCATTTATTTTTGTGCGAATTGTGCAACTAGATCGACGGCATTGACCCGTGACCCCTCGATGCGCTCAATTGTGACAACCACTTTTGTCCGACATCCTTTTCCCATTCACAGACACAATTTATGGGTAACTCTGTTTAGATCAATTGGTCACAAATTATCTTGATAAACGCTAAATCTGAACAAAACGAAGCATTTTGTGATTTAAAATTCACAAAATCCAGAAGTAATCTATCCCAAAACAAACTAATCCGATTCTGAAACTTAAGATTCGAATAGTTGCACAATGCGTAGCTTATTCCTCAATATTTTTCCTGAAGTTATTGATTAAGATTGTCAAATACTTGATACTGTTATATGTGAATTGCTTCTATAATTGTCAAAACCTTACTTGGACTACAGGCGCCGGAGACTCGAATGTTGACCTCGGCTTTCTCTTGTGCCAAAACGCAGTTTATCGATATTAGTAGACAAAATAATAGCTTTGTGATCGGTATCAACATCGTATTAATGTTCTGTGAATTAAAAAAGAGAAACTCGGAAAGTTTGACGGAGAGTAGGGCGAGGGGAATGATGGGCGAAAGAATCTCTCCCCTTCACATAGAGATCCGCCCGCCCATCCAACCGTTCTCACCTCATACAGCCACTACCTTTCCTTATCATTGCTTCAAAAGCATCGTTGCTAGTAAAAAGAACAATAAATGCCTTTTTAGATCAGGAAAATCACTGATAGCTCTGGTTCTAGGAAATCATTGCACATTATTTCCTTGTTCATGTAAATTTTTGTTTTTTCACTTTTTATCGTTTCAATAAAGAATATAGAAAAGGATTTAACACAAGAGAAAGAGCAAAATAAAAAGATTTAAATAGTTTTTCATTTGTTGTGTAGATCACAAAAGATAAAAAAAAAGCCATAGAACAGCGCAAAATACTGAGCACAGTCCAATTCGCGTTTCTCAAACATGTTCTCACGCAAGCAAGGCTCATGGACTGGAGTCAGCCATTTAAATCTTTGATTGTCACACTTTTGATAGGGTAGACAGAGTTTGCAAGAATTTGACTCATTGTCTCATCCCAGAGTGTCTCATTAAGCGAATCTTCTGTATGACTATCACGTTCATCTCTGACTTCTTGTCGTAACGACTCGGAATACCCTTTTGTAGCACCAAAGTGATTGCCGTGATGAAGTCCGTGAGTGAATAAGTTGCTAAAACGCTCATTGCGAGATTAGCTGTCGAGATAGTCGTGTACGACTTCTTTAGGCATAGTGTAAGAGCGAACATTCCGGAGCTTTTTCAGCGACCCAGCCGTGATAAAAAGAATGTTCAGCTGGAGTATTCTAGTCGTTGGCATACATTGAAGATACCAAGTACCTGATTTCTTTGGTGACACGCGTTTGGTAAACTGACCCCACATGTTCATTGAGCTGTAGATAGCGATAAAGTCGGTGAAAGTGTGGTAGAAGACTCGTTAAATCAATACTGGGATGACACTTTTGTTTTTTTTTGAGAAATTTTTCTTCTGCAACGGTTAAAAAGTCGATAAGGCGAATTTTGTGAAAAAGTCGGGCGTGACGGTGTTTGATTCGGATTAAGGGGTGCTTTGCAAGAAGATCAATATTAAAAGTAGCGGCACTCGGATTTGCTGCCATTTGCAGTTCCATTTCATTGCCGCATTCTCAAGCCTTCTTGCTTTTTTCTTTGTCTACTCTGTTGTAAAAGCATAAAACTCCGGAATGAAACCAGCGTTGATCTGCGTACGCACTTTAGTAGCTCTGTCCACTTTTGTAGTTGACTCAACTTTAACAACACGCAAAAAGCTTATTGTTGCACGAAATCTCTTACCCTTTATCCTATCGTTCCCTGAAATTTACCACTAAACTTTCCGTTTCCATTCTGTGCACACTTTCATCATGCGCCTTCTTCCGTTTGCATCATCATATTTTTATCTCTAGCTATTTACAAGACTATTTAGACTTCCCAATTTCTTTATTTTTGAATCATTTAATCAGTTTTCATTTAAAATAACTTTTCGTTTCAGGGAATTCGCCTTTTCAAAGAGGGGATGAATTTCTCGAAAAAAGGCTTCCTCGGCCCGGTGAGATTTTTTTTACTCTTTAAATGCATGCTACTTTTGAGGGTCTGTAATTTTTGGCATTTTTAGGGGAACACGAGCATCAGCTACAAAACGTCGCCCATCTACCCGGCTCCATTTCGAGGACTCGACTTCAAAGTTTCGAATCTCATTCAACCTAGGCCGCCATGTAAAGGTTAGTTGATTTTTCTGCTTTAAATATAGCTAGATAAGTGATGGTATTTGAACAAAAGTCAAGTTTAGAGCTTAAAGTTTGGTACTATCCTATTTGGGGGGGGGCACTTTTTTAGAAAATTTCACTTTTTTTGGGGTAACTTTTTATGCTGATCACGAGTTTCACGTTTTTAATCTACCTAGGTTTAATTATGAAATATCGACTTTTTGGAACTTCAAAAATAACTCAAAATAAGCGTTTTTTTAATTTGAATGCAAACTTTTCGAGCTTAAATGCAAATGTTTCACACTTTTTTGGTGTTTTTGAGTAACAGTCTAACTCCAAAGTTTATGTATTTGGATACGCTTTTAAAATGTTTGTTTTAGAGTGTTTTCCCGAGACGCATTCTGATGGTCGAGCCGAATACGTCAATCTGCTGGATCTACCAAATTATGGAGGAATGCCATATCCGTTGATAGCCAGTGCCCGACAACCGTGGCGTTTCATGGCCGATTTGAGGTAAAACTTAAAAACTTTTTTAGAGTGTGCCACGAAATTTCCGGATTACACTGAACCTCTTTAGATACACATGGAACACGCCTCTGCAGCATCAATATCCATCGGTTCGACATGAGGTTTTGAATGGACAAAGGTGAATCATAGCGATAGCCTTAAAAATATCCACTTTATATGACATACACTTATTTGAATCTTTAGAGTAGCTGAATCTGTCGCAAATGAATCCAATTCGTCAAACGTCGATCAATTATCAATTCGCAAAAAAGCCGCCACTTATTACTACGAGATTCGTGCGACGTTGAATCGGTTTGTGTGCAAAATCTGTGGATATCTCTTGTTCAAGGTATGAGATTACTTCAAGCCACTTTTTTATGTTCTGCTTTGGATTTTCCGACGACTGATGGTGCGCTTATTAGTGAATCCGGCACAAATGAAGGCCGTACAAGACGCTGAAAAGGTTGGCGCTTGAGAAATTATAAAATTTGTTGAAGGTTACGGTCGAATTTTTTGAAATTAGTTTTTAAAGTTCTCAAATTTAACAAGTTGAATATTTTGTTGAGCCTAAGTGAAAGCCGAAGATCTATTAACAATGACTTTACTTTCAGACGGGTATCCCATTGGTCTACTTGCCTCTACATCGATCTCATCTTGACTATTTGCTAATCACATGGAATTCTTGGCATTTCGGTCTTCGATTGCCACATATAGCTTCAGGAGACAACTTGAATCTCAGCGGCTTCGGGTATACTTTTTGAAATTCTATATATCTATATTTAATTTTCCAGGTGGCTTCTACGAGCAACTGGTGCTTTCTTCATTCGTCGTCGTTTGGACGCCAGTGACGAGAATGGAAAGGATCAAATGTATAGGTAGGTAACTTTAGCAAGTTTGTAGTTAAACTTACAAAAAAAGTTATTCAGAACTGTTCTCCGTTCGTATTTGGAAGAAGTGCTAAAGAAAAACTTGCCAATCGAGTTCTTTTTGGAGGGCACAAGGTAAATAGTTTTGTCTCTTTTTAATTAAGAAATTTTAGATCCCGATTCGGAAAAGCTTTACTCCCGAAGAATGGGCTTATCTCAAATGTTGTGGAAGCTGTACAGCAAGGTAGTTAATTAAAAGAAAGATTCAATCAAATTATTTAAGGTGTTATTGGTGACGTCTATCTTGTGCCCGTCTCTTATACATATGATCAGGTTAGTACTCTCTGAAGTTTGCAAAGTTTTTCTTTTTAGGTAGCTGAAGGCGTGTTTCTACAAGAGTTAATGGGTAATTCAAAGCAGCGTGAGAGCATTTTGAGCGTTTTCAGGGGTAAGTATACCTTTTAAAAATTTTTAAGAATTGTATATTTAGGTATTTGGAAAGGTTTCGGTCTTTACCAACGCTGTGGTACGGTGAGAATGCACTATGGAAAGCCGGTTCTTCTAACGGTGAGTGAAAAATTTTAATTAGGGATCACAGATTGAGACTAAAATGCTTGGATACATTTTAAGGGATTTTAGATGATTTAAAATCTTTTGAGCACTAGCTTACAAGTTTTTTTCTAGGAATACCTCTCCTCACTTTCTTCATGTTCAGCAATTCGCTCCGAACATCGTCCAAAGCAATTGACGAGACTTCCATATAGCTTCTCTTATCGGTTTGTTGTAATTTTACAAAGCAAGTCAAATTCTGTTTTAGTGAACTCGTCCCATGGACCCAGAGTCAATCGGCGGCCGAGTTCAATCGCGCTCTCATTCGATCGATCGGTTTTCATGTGGTTTACGGTAATCTTATCATTAAAACTTGCGACTATGATTCTTTCAGAAGCTCAGGAAATATGCTCAATTTCACCAGTATCTATCGTCTCGACTCTACTGCTCTCAAAATATAGAAATGACACGACTTTTGATGCGTTGGCAAACGACACCCAATGGTTGGCTGAAATTGTGCTCCGAGATGGTGGAGATGTGAGCTTTTTTTTGAAATTAGCAGAGCTTCTGTCTACACTTCTAAATGCAGTACACAATCTATTTAGATCGTTGGCTGGAGACGAGATGGTACAACAGGCAATCACTTACTCGAGGTAAAATTTGCTTGTCCTTTACTTTAAAATCTTTATTTACAGTACGCCCTTCCTTACATGAAAAGTTCGGTTACGCGAGAGGGTGATAAGGTAAGTGAAAAATTGACATTCCACAATTTATTGGTTTAGATGGTTTCTGTCAAGACGCATCGTCAAAGAATTCAGTTGGCCTATGGAAAAAATGCTTTGCTTCATCGATTCTCTTTGAAAGCAGTTCTTGGCAAGTTTTCAAGAGATGTTGCCAATGTTATTGCTTTAGCTATTTCGGTGATCTCTCGTGACCCGAATGAGGTGATCTTCTTTGATTCGGTGATTGAACAAGCTCTACACATCTGCGACTGGTTACAACATGAAATCATCTTTGCAAAGGTATTTCATCTTGAAGATGGTCAAAAACTTTAGATAACAGTATCATTTTGCTAATTATTTGATTTAGCCATGTGAAAGTCTTCGCCAACGTCTACGGGTAACCCTTGGTGAGGAAGGATTGAGTGATATGTACGTGGGATCGTTGCGAATTTCTGGCGGAGAAGAAGAGGGAGCCGGTAATCAACCAATGACAGTCAAGGTATAATTTTTATGAAAGTTTAGTTAGAAAATTTGAAATGTTCTTTTCACAGAATTGGTAATAATTGGTGACAAAAAGTTTATTAATCGCTACTCAATTGCACATAAAAATAATGTATTTTTTAGATTCCTTCTATCTATCAAGCTGATGTGTTGATGTTCTACTCAAATTTTATTCGGCCGTTCATTCAAACGATGTACATCGTGATAGAAAGATTGACAAAAGAGCTCAAACCTTGTCGAGGTAAATAGTTTATTTATTGAAAGTAAATTAACTTTTTATAGAAATTGAATTCATTCGCGATTTGATCAAGCAAACGCTAAGCAAATCAGCCTCCGAGTTTCCTTTTGATTTGATGGGTAAGTTAGATTGTTTAATCTAAAAAACTTTTCTTTAGTGGAAGCTGTTAACTCAGATTCGATCAAGAACTGCTTGCGAACACTACGCGATCGAGAGATTGTCACCAATGGTTGGTTTTTGAATTCAAAAATGACTTTTTGATTTAATCATTTCAAAATGAAGATCGGTTTATTGACTATTCTTTAGAAAGTGAACCACTACGCGTCCTGGAGCCAGAATCGCTTCGAGATGCGCTCCATTTCGCTCAACTCCTCACTGTACATCTTCGTTCCGATTCCGACGAGTCTGAAGTCATTTAGTGTTTGTTGTTTATTGTTAGCTTAGATCTTTAGTCACATATCTAGTTAATTTTTTCAGATATTCTAGTTTCTTGGTGATTTTGTTGTGCATGAACGTTCAAATTTTTGACTGGCTTTAGCGCATAATTTTTTATTTTTATGAGTTGTGTTGTTATCGAATTTATTGTCTTATAAATTGTTTTCCGATGTTTAGTTGGTTCCACAACAAACTATTTTCCTCAAGTTATGCTAGCAGAAGAATGACTTTGGCATTTACTTCAAATATTTATTCCTTTTCAATCGCTTATTATGTACAGACAAGTAATGTGATGGGATGATTTGAGATGATCACTGGGATATTGGGATAAATAACAAAAGAGTAAAAAGAAATACACACGAAACTGTGTGCATCTCACAGATTAGTCGTTCAATAGTGTGAAAGACTCGATAATCCTTGCTAATTGTTTGTACTTTTTAGATTCTCATCTTCATCTTCTTGATTCGTTTACGGAGACAGCAGCTTGTTCCGTTGTTGCATGTCTGATAGTTGGTCGGGCATTGGCATTGTTGTTGTTGTTGGGGTTGCTGGTACTGTTGGATAGAAGTTGATGGTTGGCAAGCTGGAAAATGGTTTTAGACGTTTTGACGGTGTATTTCACATGTTCTATTATAGAATTTCACTAAAACAAGCTACATCTACAGCAGACTTCGCTGTTAAACATTAATATAGTTTAAGCTTTGTTTTGCTGCTTACCAGTGGTCACTGGCTGGCAAGCGCTTTGGCACGAGGCCTGACAGGCTGGCTGACATTGTTGTTGAGCTTGTCCTTGCGAGGTGCACTGCTGTTGACAAGATGATTGGCATTGAGGCACGCATTCGTTTCCTTGCGCGATTTGAAGAGTCACCTAAATCACCTTTCTGTCTACTTCTCATTCTTTTCAACCTGAACAACAGTTGGGGCAGCAGTGGTGGGTTGGATTGCTCCTTGGCAGGCAGCCTGGCATCCGGCTTGGCATGGTTGACAAGCGGATTGCTGTTGTTGGCAAATTGGTTGGCATTGTTGCTGGCACATGGGCTGGCATTGAGGGGTCGTCGTGGTCTGAATGGATTTTGTTGAATTTGAGGGTAAAGCAAAGGTGTTTTAGTTATCAAAATATAGTTTTACCAGTGTTAGATAGGAATATTCTAAAGAGCCTACCGTTGTCGTGGTTGTCGGCTGATCACAGCAAGTCTGATGGCATTGACCGCATTGAGCCGGGAATTGGACACAGATCTAAATGAGTTGTTGAGTGCTTTCTGAAATGCACCAACATTGAGGCAGATATTTGTGCATTGTGGCTGACATTGAGCCTGAGTCGCGAGAGTCGGCGGGAGAGTCGTGGTCGTGGTCGTTGTCGTGCACACAGCCTGGAAGAAGTTGTATAATAAAAAAGGAGATTTCCGCAGAGGGAATTAAACCCTTAATCTTTCGCTTTCAGGCAATTGCGTTGACCACTGAGCTATTCGATACCTTAAGTTGCCAAATGAAAGAAGAGGTAAGCTCCTCTCTTTTGAAGGTGGGCCCTTGTTTTAATAGTGGCAGCTAGTGTACTCTTTTAAAATCCAAATCAACTACTAGTCTGCATGTTAGAAACCAAACCAATGAGTACCTTTGTTACGAATGAACTACGGTAGCTTTTCCCAGAATTTTTTCCCAAATCACTTACTTGGCATGTTAATTGACATTGGTAGCATTGTGCGGGTTGTTGCTGGCAAACGGGCTGGCATTGCTGCTGGCACTGGCACTGCTGTGGAGGGTTGGTGATCGGAGCGAAAGTCGTCTGAAAGATGAAGCTAAGGTTGGAAAGAAAGTTCTCGAAAAAAGTTTGCACGGTGATTCCACAAAAACCAAACCATGAATTTTTCCCAGATTTTTTGATAAACTTGACTATATTTCAAAAGTTTTTGACGAAAAAAATTAGAGTGGGCTTCAGATAAAAAAATAAGAGATTTCTTCAGCTGAAGTGACTTGATCACTTTTTGAGTGACCAGCCTTTAGACAAGTTTTTAATGGATTAATGGATAGGCAATCGGTCCCATCCAAAACTTAAAATCAAGTACTTAAAATAGGGAAAAATTTGTGTTTAAGGCAAATTTGATCTAATGCTTTAACTTTTCAGAAGTTAGTTAGAATTTAAAACACTCAGTGCCGAGAAGACACCAAAAAATTATTTTTTGAAATGCAGCTTCTATGCAAAAATTTTTTGGCCAAACATAGAGATTATACAGCGTATTGCTCATTTATGCTAGCTTTGCCTCATAAAAAAAATCCTTTTTTCTAGTGCAAAAAGTGAGCTGAATTTAAAGCTGGAAAATAATCATTTTTCAAAAATCTCGACAATTTTAAGGGAAAGTTGCACTCATTTTTTACGCGTAATTTCTTGGCGTCGATTTGTAAATAATAGAACAAAATGTTCTTGAATTGGTGGATTCGTTTTTAAGAAATTTCAGTCAAACTTTTTCTACGAACTTTCTTGCCAACCCTAATGGTTATAGTATGTTTAATTCTACCGTTGGGGGCACATATGGTGGTGGGGTGGGAAGATTGCAGACGGGTTGACAAGCCTGAAAAGATCAATTTTTCAAGAGAAATTAAGTTCCACTTACAGTCGAGCACTGATCGGCGCACTGTTGAAGGGGCTGAAGTTGAATGCAAAGAGTGATGCATTGAGACTGACAAGTGTTGCATTGCTGTTGTTGTTGCTGAAAAGGAATGACCAATATATCAGCAGATATTACTGTATTTGGTAAACTTAAATAACTGATGATTTATGCTCTTAAACCCACTGGAGCTGGAGTGGTGATCGGCTGACAATAGCACGGAGCTTGTGTGGTCGTAGTGGTTGTCGTTTGAATTGGAACACATTGACAATAGTTGGGAGACTAAAGTAGACAAGAATCTACCGATTACAGTGATTTTCCTACCTGTGTCGTTGGCTGACAAGAGCATTGATTATTTTGCTGAACTTGGTAACAACCACAGTTGTTCGATTGTCGGATTTTTCGGATCTAAAACGGAGAAAGGTTTTCGACTTTGCAAGATGGCAAGAGCTACAGTAATCCGCCAGAAAATGACTTAAAGTAAATCAAGAAATGAATTTGGCTAAGAAAAGGAAGATAGTGAAAAATTAAAATAAAAAAAACTTCAAGAATTCGATCATTTCAATGATCTCAACCGAAAAACCTACCGGCTCAGCGTCGATCAGCGCAAAAAGTCCCAAATAAAGGAATGGAATCGCGTAGAAGCACCTCATTTCAGCGGAATGAATGCGCAAGTCTCGAATGAACCGAATGAATGCGACTGAATGAATGCCGTCCGTGGATCAGGTCGCAAGTCTTGCCATTCATCGGCCCCTCCCCTCAACGTTTTATATGAATGGCGCGGGCCGGTCTGGGCCCAATTTTTGAAGAGAGAAGGTGCCGAAGAGAGGCCACTGTCTTGCTGAATGTTTCCACAAAAAGACTCTCCTCTCGAGCATCTACATACAGTCAAGAAGGTCGGAGGGGATTTTTAGGATAGAAAAAGTCAAGACCGTTCATCCTACTTCATCGCACTCCAATCCCCGATCAACGCTTTCTTTTTCTTGCTGGCAAACGGCTGTCTGCAAAAACAGGGTCGATTGTTTCGTTTGTTTGACGATCCGATTTCAATTTCAGCCAGTTCTCCTTATTGACTTGAGATGTTCTTTGGACGAGACAAGAATTTAGTAGTGCTGAAGTTTTGAGTAATAGCTACTAGGGACTTACTGGGTTCTAATTTAGCTGACAATGAGCTGACAATGATGGCAATGATGGCAATGGCAATGAGCTGACAACGAGCTGACAATGATGGCAATGACAATGAGCTTATCATTCAGTTTATTTTCTAAAACAAGTATCCTTGGCTAATTTCTGTTCAATACTGAACAATATTAATGAAAACGTTTTTGAAAGCTTTTGAAAACGCTCTTGTTTAAAGAGCTTTAAAGTTCTGATACTTCAAAATTTTGCAATAATCATTTTCAATAAAGTACGATATATAGAGTTAAAGTAAGTCGGGCATTTCATGAACGTTTACAAAAATGTTTTCAAGGATTCTGTAACTTTCAAGGATTCTGTAACTATCCTGTTGTCACAGTGTGGCTGAATAAGAACACCCGTTATTCTTTGACTATAAAAAGAGACTTAACAAATGTCTAGCTTGCAACTTTTCTAGCTGTTTTCACGATTGAACAGCTTCAGTTCGAGAATCTAGAAGAAATTCTTTCCTTACTAACAATGACAAAGTAAAACTAGATACGAAGCTGTGTCCAAATCGCCATTTCCCCAATTTCTGATCCCTTGACCGTTTGATCTCTTCCATTCCTTCTGTTCCTCAAGATGACGCCGTACATTCTCTTTTCCTCAAAAGTAAACCCTCATAACTCAAGGGCAAACCTGATAGCTCTCAATCAAAGGGGAAAACGGGGGATAGTACAACTTGTCTATCTGTGAAAGAGTCTATTGAGGGACCTCTGTCTTTTCTTTCTTCCACTCTTTTTCTCCTTTTCTTCAAGATTCTTCTCCTGTTTGTTGGGTGTATCTCTTCATCTTTTATGTGTGCGATGGGCAAACGAGTGTCGCAACACCCTTTTTTGCACTCACTCGATACAAGTCTTTCTTTGATTTCTCTCAACGCCTCATCAAAAGATCGTTGACGACGGCAATTTTTTTGGGCAACAAAGACTTTCACTAGGGGCAAATATGAGTGCAATCTTCGCTTTTCTGGAAGCTTTTTAGCTGAAGTTGAAAGGATTGTCTGACAGGGGAGAGATCGGCTAGTACAAGAGTCGAAGAATTCGCCAATGCTAGATCAAAAATCGTTCTTTAAAGACTACTAGCAGGATTATCTATTACTGGATCTTATAGTTAAATCAAAAATCTAATTCCTACAAGCTGTTGTAAAGGTTTAAGGGTATTGTAACTAAAGGATACTGTGCTAAACAAGTTCAAGAGTCAAGTCCGGCAGTTCTGAGTTTGAAGTCTGTCTAGTTTGAAGTCTAGTTAGTCTAGTCTAGTTTGAAATCTGGCCACTGGCCCAGTTCAAAACGACAGCAATACCTAGAAATTTATGCAAATGCAGATGACTTTTCTAATTCAGATTCAGAAAATTTCAGGTTTTAATTCTTCAACACCTCTGCACCTCTTCTTCAGCCTAACACCTATTCTTTTTACATTTGAATACAATGAACTTTGCCTTCCCCTCACCAATCTCTCAGACTGGTTACTTCCATTCCCCTTTCCTCTTTTCATTGTGAGTTTACTCGTTTTTCTATTTCCTTCTCTCCTGCGAAATACTTACTATATGTTTGCTGAGATCTTGCAAAAACGATGTTGGGAAACCAGAAGCCCAAGACAAACAGTTTTACTTGACAAAGGGTTTAGAGAAAGGAAAAGATTGTCCAAAGACCTAAACAAAATAATGTCTTTAAATAATTTATTAACTATTGCAAAACTTAATTTTGAAATTTCTAGACCAAAAAGTTGAGAAATTTATGATGAATTAAAAAACAACTTTCAAAAAGAATCGTTTAACAGGCGCAATGAAAAAAAGAATGAAAATGAAAAGAACTCATCATCGAGTATAAAGGTGATTGCTAATTGAAATCAAGAGCGTTTACAGAGAAAAATTTTGGGGACGCATTCTAAAATGCACTAGCTACCGTAATCCGCAATTTCCATGCTTAAAGCCATTCTCCGTCGTTTTTATTCATTTGCCATTTCATCGCAAATTCAACAAGATCAACTGCTATAACAGAAGTTGTGTTTTTTATTTTCTGTAATCGTCTATCTCTCTGTAAAAGTCACGAACACAAATGTCACAAAACACAAATGAATATTTAAAATTGTTAATTATTTACCAACCTTTCAACCGGGCCGTTATTGTTGTTTCGGTTGTTGTTTCGTTAAAAGTTTTGGCAATTCGACATTTGTGTTCGTCTAACTCTCTGTAAAAGTCATTAAAAAAAAGCGAACCGTTCCAGAAAAAAACCAAAAACACTTAACTTCTGTTATAGCAGTTGATCTTGATAAATTCGCGATGAAATGGCAAAGAAAAACGATGAAAAATGAATAAAAACAACGGAGAATGGCTTTAAGGAAATTGCGGATTACGGTAGCTAGTGCATTTTAGAATGCGTCCCCAAAATTTTTCTTTGTAAACGCTCTTGCGTATTGAAATCTCATAATGGACGACTTTATCTTTGTGATTATCCGAGAAGTGATAATCTTTATCGTTGCAAACATCGAGAAAACATCGAGACGTTTCTGCAATTCCGATGCGTTTCATTCCCGGTAATGCCTAAATTCATATTACTGTTTTGATTTTTTTAAATTGAAAACTCTTATTCTTCACTGACTTCTTCACTTTTACTAGCAACTTAATTTACTTAGTTCATTGAATAGAGCTGACTACGGTATCTATCCAGCTTTACAAACTTACAAGGAAAAGACACCGAGTCAAGCTGACCTTTTGACTCGAGTAGAGCTGACTACGGTATCTAGCCAGCTTTACAAACTTACAAGGAAAGACACCGAGTCAAGCTGACCTTTTGACTCGAGTAGAGCTGACTACGGTATCTAGCCAGCTTTACAAACTTACAGGAAAGCACCGAGTCAAGCTGACCTTTTGACTCGAGTAGAGCTGACTACGGTATCTAGCCAGCTTTACAAACTTACAAGGAAAAGACACCGAGTCAAGCTGACCTTTTGACTCGAGTAGAGCTGACTACGGTATCTAGCCAGCTTTACAAACTTACAAGGAAAAGACACCGAGTCAAGCCGACCTTTTGACTCGAGTTCATCTTATAGAGTCGGTCAAGGGGATCTCGAATCCGTTTTTAGTTTTTACAGAACGCTTCACAAACGCGAAATATCTAAATTTCTCCTTAAGTAGCGGTCACACGCTCCCTTAACAGCTGCTTCGATGGTCTTGTGGATAGTCGACTAAACTCCCGAGCCTATTACATACTTTGCCCTCAAGTTTGAGTCCTACTCTCGCCAAACCTTTTTGGCTTTTCTAAATAACTGTTTCCTTACGTATTTGCATTGAATTATCGACTCAAGTTTTATAGACCGCTTTCTGTAACTTCTAGAAATAATTTACAAAAGCTGGAACCTATCAAAATATCAGAATCAGTAGATAAGTAGTGAAAAATTTGACCTTTGTTGTTACATTTCTGAAAGCTACAGGTGCATAAAATTCAACTCTTTTTCTCTTTTTCAGGAATTCTTCAACTTCCAACAAAATGGGCGAACGTGATCCAAAATAACGGAAACTATTTCGAGTAAACTGCTTGTTTGGTTGTGAATAAATTTTCAAACAAAACTGTTGCCAAGACTTATTGGCCAAAATAATAGAAATTGGCATTCTCTACTTGTAGACAAAATTTCAGAGCAATCGGCCAAGAGACGGTTGAGGAAATGAAGGGGGGATTAGGTTCGGGTTGGAAATTTCTCCTGTCTAGTCCGAAATTACCTCAAGAAAATTTACGCTGAAATTATGTTAGTGATTACTTGTAGAAACATCTTTTCTTTTGCTTCTTTGTGCTACGGATTGAAATTTTTCTCGGATTTCTACAAAAAAACTCGATGTCGTTTATCTAAGCTCGATCTAATTTCGATCAAAGCGAATGGTGAGCAAATAAAGAAATTTTCTAGAAATTCAATGAACCATTAGAATTGCCAAGCACTCAAGGATTTTGATCACATTTGATCAGTTTTCAGATGAGTTACAGTCATGGACAAATGTCTTTTAACGTTGCTTTTTAGAAGTTTTTTCTTTGTATATCTGGATCCAAATCCGGCCAATTTGCAAACGGTTAAAAGATTTAAAGAGTTTATTATCTCTAATTTTAACATTACTAAAAGATGAATTTGACAATTTATCAGGTGTCATGAACTTTTATATATGAAAAACTGAGCAGATGACTGTGAAAAAGATGAGAGATGCAAAAAAGGAGAACCTCGATGACTACGATTCAAATGAAATACCAAAAATTGGATGAAATAAGGATATAACTTTTTCTGTTTATGTTTTTGAATCAACTATTTATTTCAGCAAACATTTTATTCAAAATATCTTTTATCCAACATATGTTTCAATAGTTTTAAACTTTACGTGGCTTGTCTTGAGCGAGATTTTGTTCGAAAAGCTATAAAAGACTATGAATTTCATGGTTTAGAAATTTCTGGTTTTATCGACTGGTCAGGTATAGTGAAATTGCCATTGCTGGGG